GTGAGACTGACCAAGCCATGTGTAACAGTGTAAGGATTGGGCTTTTAAACAAAAATTTGGAATCCAGTTTCTACGATATCCTGCCAGTCCCAAAAGCCACTCAACCGTCTCTTTGTTCTTGGTGGTAAAAAGCTGAGATCCTTTCTAGTCTGTCTGAATTAATAAAAAGTCCTTCTTTGGATATTAGGTGGCCTAAGTATTTCACTTGTTTTTGACAAAATTGAAATTTATCTTTAGAGACTTTATGTTTCCTTGAGGGTATCTTTTGTCACAAATGTAGCCCATCATTCACAGCAGCCTGTTTGCTCTCTGAGAGGGAAGTCATCTATTTACTGGATTAATGCATGCATTTCAGGAAACTAACATCTGAGAGGCCTACTTTTAGTATTTTTGAAAAGTCAGTCAGGCTTTCAGTATGTCCTTGGGGGCATATGTGACCCAGTGTATTGTCTGTCTTCCCAAGTGAAGGCAAAGAGAAGTTGTCTATTTTTGTCTACAAGAACGCACTACATGAGTCTATGACTGTAAGGAATTCCACATTAGATGGAAGGGCTGTGAGTGACACAGGCTGACAGTACAGAGTGCCGTGGGATTACCATGTTGTTTATTGCTCTCAAGTCTTGTACAAACCTCCATTCTCTACTGTTTGGTTTTCTTACCAGGAGGATCGGGCTATTACAATGGCTTGTATAAGGAATGATTAATCCTCTTTCTGTGTAATCTGACATTACAAGCTTCAGGGCTTCAGTTCTCAGGGGGTGTTGTATGATACTTGGAAGATGTTTCCATGGGTATATGTGAATCTTCATTGGAGTGGCTGAGATAATAGTTCCTATATCAATGGAGGACCTTGACTGCAATGGATCAGGCACTGTCTTCAGTACATTTTGTAAATTCCTCCTTAAGCAATAATTCACTGTCCTTCGTGACAATATAGACTGCAGTTAGATTAGATTTTGAAAATTTATTGAACTATCTGTTGTGTCTGGTGATTGAGTTTTATCATCTAATTTAAAATATAGCTCCTTCCTTTGGGAGAAAGAAATGTGGGTATCATATAACTGCAGAAAGTCTCTTCCTATTGAATGGGTGGGGGGGGGCAATGGAACAAAGAGGAGGGCACGAACTCCTTGTGAGGAACACAGTTGGAAGGTTACGAGCTGAGATTTAGGTGCAGGCGGATTGTGATGCCCGCCATTTGAATTGTGTGTTACTGAGAGGAATGGGAACTCGCAACAAGACAGGATTAATTCCAGATCACGTGGCTGCAGTGAGTTCTCCGTTTATAACCGTTTCTGTTTCTCCCAGAGTGTTGGTAAGGAGGAAATGAAAGGCCTCTCTAAGCTTCTTGGAGCGCCCATGTTTTCTTTTCTGCCTCCACTGGTTAACATTCTTTCCTTTTTTATTTTTGGCAATCTTTTTAAAGTAATCAGGCTTTTTGCAGTAACTGCAAAATGGAAGGTTGGGGCCATGAGGGGGTTGTGCGGTATTCCGAAGGCCAAAACGGTGTGAATAGCTATTTTGATGGTAAATTCGTGATTGGTTTAGGCTGGCTACTGTTTGGCTTCCCTCTCTCTTCTTCAGTTAAGGTGTGGACAGCCGGCCAGTGAGACTGACCAAACTGTGCGTAGCAGAAGTGGTCCACCTGGGGCGTTGTCTTTTCACTGTGTGCTAATTCATCTAAGTCATTTCTTAAACTGGAGTTGAGTATCTTTTTGATGATTAGCACAACTTTCTTCAGATAAGCCTAAATATTCCTTTAAAATGTTTTTCACAGCCTCAAAGTATATTACTGAGTCACCTGCATCTGGTTGGCATTGTATTTTGTTCCGGTTGACTACTGGAAACACCGCAGGGACAGCTCGATGCCAAGCCTTGCGGGCCTGCAGGCCTGTCTACCGTGGTCTTCTGAACAGGCCCGTGCAGTGTTGTGATGCCCACCATCCAAACTGTTTGTTCACTGTCCTCTCATGAAGATTCCTAACAGATTTTTCCAGTGGGCCTTGTCTAGCCCACTGGAAAAAAGCTTTACCTTTGCTATTAACATGTGAATGTGTTGCTAGAAGTCAGAACAACTAGGGTCTTAAGTCTGAATATTTAATTCAAATTTCCTAGCAAAACCAATAGGCCCCTGGTGAGGATCTGGGTGTTCTTCTAACTATGGCTTTAAGTTGGACTGTGATTGATAAACAAAGCAGGTTCCCCTCTGCCAGATGCTGGATGAAATGGAGCCAACCCAGTGGGAGCAGGAGGAGGGGCCGGGGAAGGAGGAGGTCAGTCAGAGCTGGGTAGTTCTGATAAGGGGAGAGACGGGGAGCAGTGAGAGAAGACATTTCAGTGAGTTTAAAATTCAGTAATGGTTTTAGAGAGCTTTTCATTTTCTTCCCGTAAGGGAAGAACTCAGTCAGAGCCTCTTTTGGATGCTTCTGGGTCCACTGGAAGTAACTCTCCCAATTATTTTGATGCTATAGCTGGCTTTTTAAAATTGTGCACACAAATAACTAATCTAGGCATTTCAAAGACACTCCCCTTTGATCATTGTAATTTAGGGTCTTCTTAGGTCACATAAGACCATTTCTCCGAGGAAGGATCCAAGATGGCTGATCGATAACAGCTCGGGATTACAGCTCTCAGTCAAAGCGCAGAGAACTAGAGGACGCCACACTTTCAGACAAATTCTGGTCGCTCACGGAGCAGAAGATCCCCAGTGGAGGAACCACAAGGGTCGCCAGCGCGACTCTTGTGGCCGGCGCAGCGGTGCGGCAGCTCTCGGAGCAGAGTAAACAGGGCTGGCTCCCCTTCTGACTGAGGTTTGGAGGACCCACAGGGGTCCCCAGCACGACTCCTGAGACCGGCGCAACGGCTGTGACGGCACCTCAGCGTGGCAGCTCTCGGAGCAGAGTAAACAGGGCCGGCTCCCCTTCTGACCCAGGTTTGGAGCCCCGGGAAGGCAGAGTCGCCCATTACAGACACAAGAAGGAAGCCAGACAGGAGAATCCTGGGCAGAAAAGCACCATCAGTCTTAACACTGCCGTTCTGGCCCTGGGAACTAACAACTTGGACGTCCAATCAAGAGACCTAATCTGAAAGTTGGTAATTTCAAAGATGACAGGAGGATAAATTTAAAATCATGGGAAGAAACCAGCATAAAAAGGCTGAGAATACTCAAAATAAGAATGCCTCTCCCTCTAAAGATGATCACAGTTCCACATCAACAATGGAACAAGACTTGATGGAGAACAAGCGCATCCCAATAACAGAATCACGCTTCAGGGAATGGATAATAAGAAACTTCTGTGAGTTAAAAGAACATGTTGTAGCCCAATGTAAAGAAACTAGGAACTTTGAAAAAAGGTTTGACGAAATCCTATTGAGAATAGACAACTTAGAGAGAAATGTAAGTGAATTAATGGAACTGAAGAATACAATACAGGAACTCCGAGAAGTATGCACAGGTTTAAACACTATAACAGAGGTCAAAGTCCAACTTAATGAAAGAAAACAAGAAGACAAGATTAGAGATAAAAGGATAAAAAGGAATGAGCAAAGTCTCCAAGAAATGTGGGACTATGTGAAAAGACCAAATTTACGTTTGATAGGTGTACCTGAATGCGATGGAGAGAATGAATCCAAGCTGGAAAATACCCTTCAGGATATTATTCAGGAAAATTTTCCTGAACTAGCAAAGCAGGTCAATATTCAACCCCAGGTAATACAGAGAACACCACAAAGATATTCCTTAAGAAGAGCAACCCCAAGGCACATAATCGTTAGATTCACCAGGGTTGAAACGAAGGAGAAAATACTAAGGGCAGCCAGAGAGAAAGGTCAGGTTAATTACAAAGGCAAGCCTATCAGACTTACAGCAGATCTCTCAGCAGAAACTCTACAAGCCAGAAGAGAGTGGGGGCCAATATTTAACATCCTCAAAGAACAGAACCTTCAGCCCAGAATTTCATATCCAGCCAAACTAAGCTTCACAACTGAAGGAAAAATAAAATCTTTATGAACAAGCAAGTACTCAGAGATTTTATTACCACCAGGCCTGCTTTACAAGAGCTTCTGAAAGAGGCATTACACACAGAAAGAAACAACCAGTATTAGCCTTACTAAAAATATACCAAAAAGTAAAGAGCACCAACATAAAGAAGAATTTCCATCAACGAATGGATCAAACAGCCAGTTAACATCAAATGGCAGTAACCCTAAATTTAAATCGACTAAATCCCCCAATCAAAAGACACAGCCAAAACTCAACGGCATGTTACAGCCAGACCTGTTTCACATGCAAGGATACACAAAGACTCAAAACAAAGAAATGGAGAAAGATTTACCAACCAAATGGAGAGCAAAATAAATAAATAAATAAATAAAAAGCAGGAGTTGCAATTCTCATAGCAGATAAAATAGATTTTAAAGCAACAAAGATATAGTGGTAAAAGGATCAATACAGCAACAAGAGCTAACTATCCTAACACCCAGATACGAGACTTAGATTCAATGAGACAGAAAATTAATAAGGATATCAAGGACTCGAACTCAGATACGAACAAGTAAACTTAATAAATATTTATAGAGCTCTCCACTTCAAATACATAAAATATACATTCTTGTCAATACCACATACACCTACTCATAGGTTTAAATGAAACATTGATTGGCCATTATTAATATCCATTTTTTTTTCAGAATAAAGCAATATTTCCATTCACCCTCTCTCTCTCTCTTCCTCTTTCTTTCTCTCCTTTACTCATTTTTTTTTCTTCCTTCTCTCAAAAAAAGGAATCAACTTGTAAACCTCTAGATCCAGGTCGGCAATGTCTCTCTCATTGCTTGAATTCCTTCCTTCCCTTCCCTCCCTCCCTCCCTCACCCCCTTCCTCCCTTCCTTCTTTCATCCCTTCCTTCCTCCCTCCCTTCCTCCTTCCCTCCCTTCCTGCCTTCCTCCCTTCCTCCTTCCCTCTCCCCACTAAAAAAAAGACCATTTCTCCAAATATTGGCAGGAGGTGGCGCCATAAGCCCTGTACATAAATCCCGCTGGAGTTTCCAAAGGCGCCTCCTTGCTTAATGAGGATGTGGTTATAGATGGATGATTGCTCCTAATTTGGATTCTCTTTTAAAATGCCCAAAGGCTAAAAGGGAAAGATGTGTGGAGTCCAGTGTGAAGCTCAGCAGGGATTATTCCTGGAGGTGCCAGTCAAGTAGCTTCTTCCCTCGTCCCTGGGGGGTTCAAGAACCTGAGTGACCAGTGTGTCCCGGGGATTAGGAAACTCTCCCTGTGAGTTCTTCTCCAGGGTTTGCTATATGTCCTCCATTGCCTAAGGTGCCTTTCAACTGGGAGAAAGTGCTCTTTGTTTTCAGCTTATCACGTCCCCATTCCAAGCCTTTTACAAATTTTGGTCACTCAGGAAGAAACAAATCTCAGTGTTAACAAAGGTCCAAAGCCTGGCTAGGATCTTAAAGCCACACGTTTAGCTTAAGCCACAAACATTCACTTTATCCTTTTAAGAAGAGAACTGCTTTCTCTTTAACCAAGTCAAATGAGAGAAAAGTTTGCAAACCTGAGCAACTAAGATGAGTGAAAACTTAACCTAACAGAAAAGTGGAACCACAAACCTGTCAATAGCAGAATCCTTAGAGAAATAACAGATGAAAGTCCTGCCTTAAAGCCCTGAATGACAGCTTCAGCGTCAGCCCGCTGAGCATGAAATTCATTTACTTAAATAAAATCTGAATTTCAGCCCAAACCCAGGAGATCCAAAACCTGAGAGTAGTCTTACCAAAGACGCCCGTTATCTTCGGATGCAAGCAGTGTGTGCGAAAACCACGGCCCCAGCTGCGGATGAAGTGGCAGGAGTCCGCCGAAGCCTACTTCAAATTCCTGGGGCTTCCAGGGGAGGTGAGAACACAAGTGGTGGGAGAGCCTGGGCAGGGAACGCTGGTGAGTAAAGGCTGTGCTGTTGTACAGATAAAATGTCTCTGAGTTCATAAACATCTCATGCCACCCGCACAAGAACAGGTGATAGTCGTCTGGGCTGTTGTCAGCCTCCAGGGTCCTCTCCTGTGATCTGTGTTAATCTTCCCAGATTGGTAAATTCCTTCCTGGGGAGGGGATTCATGACAGCTGAGTTCCTTTTGGAGAATGCGTCTTCAGGCAGATAACGGGAGCTCAGAGGAAACATTTGCCTCCATCCGCTGATCCCCAAGTGCCCTCAGCTCACAGGGATCAGCACTCCAAAGTGTCATGGGGGTAGCATTTCCTGAACTCATTCAAAGCAACAACAACAGACAGGGCAAGTAGCTCAGGCCTATAATCCCAGCACTTTAGGAGGCGGAGGTGTGAGGATTGCTTGAGCCCAGGTGTTCAAGACCAGCTTGGACAACATAGGGAAGCGCTGTCTCTGTAAAAAATTAAAAGAGGCCAGGCGCGGTGGCTCAAACCTGTAATCCCAGCACTTTGGGAGGCCGAGGCGGGTGGATCACAAGGTCAAGAGCTCGAGATCCCGTCTCTACTAAAAATACAAATAATTAGCTGGGCATGGTGGCGCGTGCCTGTAATCCCAGCTACTCAGGAGGCTGAGGCAGGAGAATTGCCTGAACCCAGGAGGCAGAGGTTGCGGTGAGCTGAGATCGCGCCATTGCACTCCAGCCTGGGTCACAAGAGCGAAACTCTGTCTCAAAAAAAAAAAAAAAAAAAAAAAAATTAAAAGAAAACCTAGCCAGGCATGGCAGCACACACCTGTGTCCCAGCTACTCGGGAGGCTGAGGGGGAGGAGTGCTTGAGCCAGGGAGGTTGAGGCTGCAGGGAGCTGCCATTGACCACTGCACTCCAGCCTGGGCAACAGAGTGAGACGGCCTCAAAACAACAAAAAGTGAGTCAGTAACAATAACTTGTACAAAATGGATGTTTGGGATCTGTATGCCACACTCCTGAATGTGTGTCTTTAAACAGGTGTCACAGTCCTAAACCTTGTTCTTACCCTCTTCCTCCTAGGTGCCTGTGTCATTCCAGGTGGGGTTACCTCCTGGTTTCCTAACTCAGCGGGTTGAGACGGACAGCAGAGAAGGACACTGCACACCTCTGCAGGGCCCCCTCTCTGGCCCACCAGCTGTCCCTTCTCCAGAATGAAGACCTCACTGTGTCATCCAGGCAGGAATAATAGACAGAAACCCCAGAAGCCCCAGAGCTCTGAGGCCTAAACCACAAGCCCCACCAAGTCCCACAGGGCGCAGCTGGGCAGAACGGCCCGAACCAGTTTGGTTTTGTGAACCAGGTACGCATTCTTTCTCCTTCCTCCCAGGTAGCACTAAAATACATTCCCAGACTCCCAGTTACATACAGGGAGAGGGAGAGGGGAAGGTATTCCTGATTGGAAAACGAACAAACAAAAGCTACCTTTACTATTCTCAACGTATAAACTAAGGTAATCAGATTAAATAATTCTGAAATTATTCAAAATTTTGCTGTTAGTCTTTTTATTATTTTAGAGAAGGGGGTCTTACTCTGTTGCCCAGGCTGGACTCAAACTTCTGGGCTCAAGCGAACCTCCTGCCTCAGCCTCCTGAGGAGCTGGACCACCATGCCTGACTGAAATTGGTTATTGAGCATCTTGATATGAAAAAAAATCTTTGAATCTTAATGTTAAGTTTTCGTTTCCTCTTGGCAACCAAAGCATCCCTATTTTAATTTTTATTTGTTGATTGTTGGTTGGAGAGTACCATCCTCCTCACCCGCTATGCCTCAAGCCCTCTTCCCAGCCTGAAGAAGACCATCTTCATCTTAGCAATGTCAGTAACAAGGCATGCCACTCAAAGAACTACAGAGATAAGGGTTTGGGTTTACGCTGGGGAAAGCTCGTGACTCTAGCTGCAGGAATACAGGACTGAGCCTCCCCGGTTCTGGAAAGCAAAGGGAGGATGCCCCGCTCCGATTTCCTCAGCATCCTTGCCCTGCAGGCCTGACTCGCCCTCCTCTGCACATGAGACACCTGCTGTCATGTGTACTGATGTGTGGCAGCTTCAGCCCTCCGTTCTATGTGACCTCGCAGCGTTGCGCCCTACAACAGCTAACCCAGACGGTTTCCATGTTCCACTTCAAAATCGCTGGGAGGAAAAAAAATTGGCATTCGAGATTGAGAACGAAGGTCTGAAGAGTGGGAGCTAGGCCTGGCTAGAGCAGTGGTGGACAGACTTTTCCTGTAAGAGCTGGGTAGGAGGTGTTTTAGGCTTGGCAGGGCGTGAAGTCCACTCTGCATTGTCGCGGTGTCAAGCTGCCATAGTCAATACGTAAATGAGTGAATGTGGCTGGATCCCATTCGCAATTTTATTCCCAAAAATAGTGGATGGCCAGATTTTTGGCCCATGGTCTAGAATTTTCCATTGCCTGAGATACTAGAAACAGAAGGGTTTTGTTGCTGTTTTTACTAACTCTTTATTGGAGTAAGGCAAACAGGCAGAAAAGTGCACACATCATAGCATTTCATGAACTATCACAGAGTGACTGCACCCACGTAACCACCAACCAAGTGACAGAACGTTGCTAGCATCACAGAACCTGGGTTTGTGCCCTTATTGGTCACTAATCTCACCCTCCTCCCCCAAAGTAATTCAACTCTAATTTTGACTGTCACTAATCTCTCCTGTTTTGGGCTGTATAATAATGAAGTCACATTATATGTATTTATATTTTGTCTAACTTCTTTGTACAGTATTCTCCCAATGGGATTCATCTGAACTGTGGTTTGTAGCGATGGCTCATTTCTTTTCATTGTTATTATAGTATTTGATTGTATTACTATAATACTATTTATTTCATGCTACTGTGGATGCACATTGAACATTGTTTGTAGTTTGGAGCTACTGCATGTCTTTGGATGAATCTGTGTGCACATTTTCGTTGGAAGTAGAACTGCTGGTCCAACATAGATGATAGATAGATTTATTATTGAATATACGTAACACCATTTTCTATATTGTTCATTATAATTTCCAAATGACGTTTTTTTCTGCTTGGTGAGGAATCACTTTCATACCTTCCATTGATTTTTTAGACATAGTTCTTTTATTTATTTGAAAATATTTTTGATACCGGGTTTAATGTCTGTCTAGTAAGTCCAGCATGTGGGCTTACTATGGGACAATTTCTTTTGTCAACTTTTTTACATTTCTGGGCCATACTTGCCTGTTCTTTTGTGTGTTTCTTAATTATTTGGGTGACAACTAGACACTTTAAATAATAAATCAACTCTGGAAATTAGAGTTGCTGCTGTTTTTGTGATTGTTGTGGTGGGTGGCTTATTTGTTTAGTGATGTTTCTGGATTGCTTTGGTAAAGTCTGTGTGCAGCCACTGAAGTATTCACTTGGTTAGCTTAGCGGTCCACTCATGATTGGACAGAGAATTCTCCAAATGTCTTCAACCAATAAGCCTCCCCTTGCTTATGGGCTGGTTATTAGGGTATGTCTTCAATACCCCTACAATTCACAACTCCACCTTAGCCTTCACTCCTGCTAGGGCAGAGCCTCCAGAGCCACTGGAGTGAGCACTTAGGGCCTTCCTGGTCTCTCTTGGGCATGCATGCAGTCCTGCACACGGGAGGCCTTCTAACCCTCCAGGAATAAGTTGAAGCTTTTCAAAGCCCCTAAGAACATCTCTCTCTCTAGACTTGCCTTATAAGGTTTTTGTCCAATTTCTTATCTGCCCTAAGTGGCACCACCACCTCAGGCATAATAACAAGGAGCCAAATGTTATTTGCATAAATAACAAGGAGCCAACAGGCTGTTGAACAGTTAGTGCTGATTGATCTTCACCAACACTCTGGGGATCTCCCTTGCTGGGAGATCTGAACCAGGTCAAATAAAGTGAGCCCTTTGAATGGAGAGGAGCCGCCAGCCCAGGACAAAGAGTGATGATTCTCTAAGAATGAGGTTTCTGGCACTCCAAAGCTGTCCTGTCCCTCTAGTTTCCATTAGGCTATTGGTTTTCACCACTACCACAGCTCCAAGGCTGCTGCTTTTCAAGGCCACTGCAGGGCAGATGGTGGTGGAAGGGGTAGGAGTGGAGAAGAGGCAAAATTAAAATTCCACAAAGCTTGCTGTTTACTGTGTTTCAGCCACTTTCTTGAATAAACATTCTGAACTGTTGCAATCCTATTGTTAATTTCCAGAGTTCTGAAAAAAGTGGATTTTGACAGCTTATGCTGTGTCCCTTTTCTTATGGAGGCATACATTCTTGGAGGGTCCTCCTCCATCACTCCACATATTCTTCTGTAGCCATTATGGGTGGTGGTTTTTTATTTTTTACTATTATAAATTTTAAATCTTTTCTAGGCCAAAAACTTTTTGGGGTATAATAAAAGAACAGGAAAAAAAAAAAGCATACACACACACACACACACACACACACACACACACACACACACAGAGGTACATTGGCCTATTATTTAATTCTACATGTGGATGTTCGGGTTTGTATTAGTTTGTTCTACTGCTGTTATAAAGAACTGCCAGAGACTGGGTATTATATATATTATATATATATAAATGTTTAATTAACTGACAGTTCTACAGGGCTGGGAGGCCTCAGGAAACTTACAATTATGGTGGAAGGTGAAGCAAATATGTTTTTCTTCACATGGTGGCAGGAAGGAGAAGTGCTGAGCAATGGGAAGAAAACCCCTATGATCTCATGAGAACTCAGTATTACAGGAACAGCATGAAGGTAACTGCTCCCATGATTCAATTACTTCCCACTGGATCCTTTCCCCAACATGTGGGGATTACAATTCAAGATGAGATTTGGGTGGGGACACAGAACCAGACCATATTGTCCACCCTGACCCCTCTTAAATCTTGTCTTTCTCACATTTCAAAACACAATCATGCCTTCCCAACAGTTTCCCAAACTCAACTCATTTCAGCATTAACTCAAAAGTCCAAGATCATAGTCTCTTCTGAGACAAGGCAAGTCCCTTCCACCTATCAGCCTGTAAAATCAAAAGCAAGTTAGTTGCTTCCTAGATACAATGAGATTACAAGCAATGGGTAAATATGCCTGTTCCAAATGGGAGAAACTGGCCAAAATGAAGAGGCTACAGGCACCATGCAACTCTGAAGTCAAATAGGGCAGTCGTTAAACCTTAATGTACCAAAATGATGTCCTTTGACTCAAGGTCTCACATACAGGTCACACTGATGCAAGAGGTGGGCTCTCACAGCCTTGGGCAGCTCTGCCCCTGTGGCTTTGCTTTCACAGCTGGCATTGAGTGTCTTTGGCTTTTCCAGGTGCACGGTGCAAGCTATTGGTGGATCTACCATTCTGGGGTCTGGAGGATGGTGACCCTCTTCTCCCAGCTCCACTAGGCAGTGCCCCAGTGGGGACTCTGTGTGGGGGGCTCTGATCCCACATTTTCCTTCTGCATTGCCCTAACAGAGGTTCTCCATGAGGGCTCATGGAGATGACCCCTGCAGCAGACTTCTGCCTGGACATCCAGGTGTTTCCATACATCCTCTGAAATCTAAGTGGAGGTCCCCAAACCTCAATACTTGTCTTCTGCACACCTGAGGGACCAACACCATGTGGAAGCTGCCAAGACTTGGGGCTTGCACCTTCTGAAGCAATTGCCTGAGCTCATACCTTGACTCCTTTTAGCTGCAGCTGGAGCAGAAGCAGCTGGGATGCATTGCAACAAGTCCTCAGGATGCACACAGCAGTGGGACCCTGGACCTGGCCCACGACACCATTTTTCCCTCCTAGGCTTCCAGGCATGTGATAGGCGGGGTTGCTTCAAAGGTCTTGGACATGCCCTGGAGACATTTTCCCTAGTGTCTTGGTGATTAACATTTGGCTCCTTGTTATTTATGCAAATTTCTGCAACTGACTTTAATTTCTCCCCAGAAAATGAACTTTTCTTTTCTACCACATTGTCAGGCTGCAAATATTCTAAACTTTTGCTCTGTCACCTCTTGGATGCTTTGCTTTAGAAAGCAAAATTCTAAAGCGGAATTCTAAAGAAATTTCTGAAATTTAGAAATTTCTTCCACCAGATACCCTAAATCATCTCTCTCAAGTTCAAAGTGCCACAGATCTCTAGGGCAGGGGCAAAATGCCATCAGTCTCTTTGTTAAATTATAGCAAAAGTCACCTTAATTCTAGGTCCCAACAAATTCTTCATCTCCATCAGACACCACCTCAACCTGAACTTCATTGTTCATATCACTATCAGCATTTTGGTTAAAACCAGTCAATAAGTCTCTATGAAGTTTCAAAGTTCCCCATAACCTCCCTGTCTTCTGAACCTTCCAAATCTCTAGGAAGTTCCAAACCTTTCCACATTTTCCTGTCTTCTTCTGAGCCCTCCAAACTGTTCCAACCTGTGCCTATCACCCAGTTCCAAAGTTGTTTCTACATTTTTGGGGTACCCTTATAGCAGCACCCCACTCTCTGTGGTACCAATTTACTGTATTAGTCTGTTCTTTCACTGCTATAATGAACTACTGGAGACTGGGTAATTTATATAGAAAAGAGGTTTAATTTACAGGGCTGGAGAGGTCTCAAGAAACTTACAATCACGGAGGAAGGTGAAGCAAACATGTCCTTCTTCATATGGTGCCCAAAAGGATAAATGCTGAGCGAAGTGGGAAAAGCCCCTTATAAAACCATCAGATCTCATGAGAACTCACTCACTATCATGAGAACAGCATGAGGGTAACTGGCCCCATGATTCAATTACCTCCCACCGAGTCCCTGCCCCAACATATGGGGATTACAATTCAGGATGAGATTTGGGTGGGGACACAAAGCCAGACCATAGCAGGTTTTTAACACAAGATTTAAGAGACGTTCAAAGAAAGTCTTGTGGAAGAGCAAAATATGAATTCACAACTGAATCTCCCCTTGGCCAACCTCCTTGTCACCAATTCACTGGCTAAACTAGTGCTCTGCACTTCGTTGTTGTTAAATTGTGATGAAATATACACAACACAGAACTTAACATCTTAACCATTTTTAAGTGTACATATTTGTGACTTTTAAGTACTTTCACATTGTTGTGCAGTCATCACCACCTCATCTCTGTAACTCTTTCCATCTTAAAACTAAAACTCTATGCTCATTAAAAAATTCTCCATGCTTCTCCCACACCCTGGAAACCACCATTCTACTTTCTGTGTCTATACATTTGACTACTCTAGGAACATCATGCAAATGGAATCATATACTATCTGTCTGTTGTATGATTTCTTTCACTTATTCTTCCAAAATAGCATTATATTTTGAAGCTTCGTCCATGTTGCAGTGTGTGTCAGAATTTTCTTCCTTTTTAAGGCTGAATGACATTTTCTAAGGCTGAATGATATTCCCTTGTATGAATATACCACATTTGCTTATTCATTCATCTGACGATAAACACTTGATTTGATTCCACCTTTTGTCTATTGTGAATGTTGCTGCAATAAACATGGGTGTATAAATATCCTGAGGAGCTCCTGCTTTCAATTCTTTTGGGTATATACCCAGAAGTAGGATTGCTAAATCATATGTTAATACTATTTTTAATTTTTTGAGGGCATGCAGTACTATCTTCCATTTTACATTCCCAACAACAGTGCACGAATTTTCAATTTCTCCAAATCCCCACCTATATGTGTTATTTCCTGCCTTTTTTTTTTTTTTTTTTTTTGACAGTAGTCATTCTAATGAGTGTGGAGCAGTATTTTATTGTGACTTTAATTCACATTTCTCTAATGACTGGTGACACTGAGCATTTTTTTTCATGTGCTTATGGTCCATTTATATGTCTTCTTTGGAGGAATTTCAAGTCTTACCCATTTTTAAATCAGATTCTTAGTTGTTGAGTCATAGGATTTCCTTATATATTCCAGATATTCACCCTCTGTCAGATATATGATTTGCAAGCATTCTCTCCCACCAGATGGGTTGCCTTTTCATATATAAACATTTTACACCTTGGTGTAGCCCAATTTATATTTTCTTTTGCTGCCCATGCATTTGGTGCTGTATGGAAGAAGTCATTGCCAAATCCAGCATCACAAAGCTTTTCCATGTTGTCTCCTAATAGTTTTATGGTTTTAGTTCTCAGCTTTAGGCCTTTGATTTTTGAGTTCATTTTGCATCTGGTGAAAAGTAAGGTTCCAGCAACATCCTCTTCCATGTGGATATCCAGTTCTTCCAGTAGCGTTTGTTAGATTCACTGCCCTTTCTCCCATTGAAAATCTTTGCACCCTTGACAAAAATCCTT